CCCCACCCGTGTCCATCCCCCCCTCAGGCTGCAACCCGAGAGCTTCATCCATAATTCAGCCCGGCGGCCTGGATCCACGCCCGGGGATGCGTGGATGCGCCCAGTCGCCGCTACCGGGGGAGGGGAGAGGAAGGAGGGGGGCGGTGGGACTCTCCGGTGCACCGGAGGTCACACCGGAGATGCACCGAGGGGTCCCACCGCCCCCTTCCCTCCCTTCCCCTCTGCCGGTGCTCCACGAGTTGGGGGGGTACCCACCCCCCACCCACCCACGGAGGCGTCCGGCGCATCTGCTCAGCGCCGCCCCCCTCCTAAACCCCCCCACCCCGGTAGTTGCGGGTACCCCACAGACCCGCGGCACCCACCCGCGGCGTGACCCGGGCGCTCCCGGCTCCTCGCGGTGCCCACACGGGGAGCTGTGGGGCGGCTCCGCGCCGGGCTGGGGGTCCAGGGGCGGCACCGCGCACCCCCTGGGTCGTGGGGCACGCCCCTCTGAGCATCGTGGGGTACCCACACTCCGGGCTGGGGATCTTGGGGGGCCACCGGGTACCCCGTGGCTCGTGGAGCGCCCAGAAGCCGGGCTATGCGCGCCGGTGCTGCGCAGGGTGTGCCGCGGTTCCTGGGGCACCCCCGCGCTGCCCCGGGGGGCCCGGGATGGCAGCGAGTACCCACGTGTCAGGGGCACTGCCACGCTGGGCTGGGGGTCCCGGGGTGGCACCGGCTTCCCCGTGGGTCGTGAGACAGCCACACCTCGGGCTGGGCTGGCGGCAGGCACCTCGTGGGTCGGGGGGCACCCTCGCGCCGGGGGTCGCGGGGGGCTCAACCTGGGGCGCCCCGGGCCTGCGCCCCCACGCCGGGCCGTGCGTCCCGGGGCGGCCCCGGGGTCCCCGCGCACCGGGGGCTCCCCACTCACCCCGGGGCACCCGCACCCCGAGCGCCGCGGGGCACCCCGAGCCGGGACCGAGGTCTCCGGGTGGCACCCCAGGGTCCACCCGACACCCGCGGGACCCCGCCCGACCCCGCGCCTACCTGGGGGCAGGTCCCGAGCCGTGGGGGGCCGCATGGCGGGGCGGCCGCTCAGGCGCTGCCCACCCGCGGGGTCATGGCCGGTGCCGGGGGGGGCTGCTCGCCCCCTTCGCCCCCGCCGCGCCGCCGGGAGCAGCAGCCGCCGCCGCCCCGGGGCATGGCACGGGTGGGCTCGGGCTCGGGCACGGGTGGGTTCGGCGCGGCGCTGCCCGCGGCTCCGTGGGGCTGAGCCCTCCCCGCGCCGCGCCTTATCCCGGGGCGGCCGCTCCGCCCCCCGCGCCGGCCCCGCCGTTTAACCCTTCCCGGGCTGGCCCGCCCCAGGCGGGACAGGGGTGGGCACAGGGACTCCCGCGGGGACCGAGGGGACAGCGGGGGATGGGATGCGCTGCGGGCGCCCACCGGTCACACGCCCTGCGGGACTCAGGAGGGGGACCCTAAAGGGGACACGGGCGTGTGACGGGCTCCCCCCGCGGGGAAAGGACGCGGAGCTCGCGTGGGGAGCTGTGAGCGCGGGACACGGAGGGTGGTCTCCGTCCGTCCGTCCGTCCGTCCGCCTGATGGATGGTCCGTCCCTCCCTCTGTCCCATGATCCCTGGACTGGCGCCGGGCTTTGGTGCCCCCATGGACGGCGGGTCCCGCGGGTAGCTGTCCCCAGGACGGACGCGGCGGGGCCGGGAGCCCCGCACGGAGCGAGCCGCCGGGAGGGCGCGGGGGGCGGCGGTCCGCACCCACGCGGGACCGCGGCGCTGTTTGTGGTGCCGGACCGGCGCTGTCCGTGGTGCCGCCGCGGCGCCGCCCGGGCCGGGGCAGAGCGGCGGTGCTGCGCGTGGGGGGAGACGCGTGGCCGCGCGGACTGCGGCGGCACCGGCACCGGCTGGCACCGGCGCGTGTTTGCGGCGCCGTCTCCGGCGAGTGAAATGCCACAAGCTGGTGCGGCGGCAGCCGTGGGAGGGGGCGTGGGCGGCGCGGGGCTGACTCAGGGGCCGCCATCCGCTCCCCCCGCCCGTGCCCCCAGCCCGGCCGCCGAGCCCCCGCCGGACAGCGCTGATCTGGGCAGGGCAGGGCAGGGGAGCCCGCCCGGGGGGCTCTGGGTGCCCGTGCCCACCCGCCCGGGGAGCTGGGACAGTGTGGATAGGGAGGGGATGGATGGATGGATGGATGGATGGATGGATGGATGGATGGATGGATGGGGCAGGTAGGGGGACAGAGAAGTGGAGGATGGATTGATGGACAGGGGGGACATAAGGAGAGAAGGACAGATGGACAGATAGATGCACGGAGAACATCTGGAGACGGGACAGACTCATGGAGAGATGGGTGAAGGATGGGGAGGACAGACAGATGGACAGGTGGAGGGAAAGGCAGGTAATGGGCAGCTGGATGGCTGTGGGACAGATGGATGGGATGGATAGAGTTGTGATTGGAGGGGGACAGATGGACAGGTGACAGACAGACCGATGATGGACAGATGGATGGGTGACAGACAGATGGATGGGTGATGGACAGATGGACGGGTGATGAACAGACAGAAGGGCAGCTGGCAGAGCAGATGAGAGGCTGCGGCAGTGGGGACAGGTGGGGACAGACCAGGCAGCAAGCACTGGTGGATGGACAGAGGGACAGAGGAGGCGATGTGGAGGGAAGGGTGACAGAAGGGACAGTAGTGTCCTGGGCGGGGACAAGGCAAGGGGTGGGGGACCAGGGACAGGCAGGGGACACTGCACAGCACAGCAGGGTGGCATGGGAATGGCTCTGGGATGGCAGAGCTGGAATGGCCCAGGGAGGGCCCAAGGGTAGTCCTGGGGTGTGCAGGAATGGCCTGAGGGGTGACCCAAGCATCACTGAAAACTGGCCCGAGAGTGACCGAACGGGTGATGCAAGGGTGGCGCCACCAGGAGCCACCTTGGGGACAACAGGTGAGTGTCACACCTGGAGATGCCGAGGGGGGCACCCGCGGGGGGCGGCGCCGGGGAAGGGCTCCGTGCCGGGACGGCCCCTCCTGGGCGGACCCGGGGCTGACCGGGGCCGCTCCAGCGAGGCCGCCCCCGCTCCCCCCGAAACCGGCGGCCCGGGGGCGGGGCCCGGCCAGGCCCGGCGGCTCCGCTCCGCCCGCAGCGGGGGTCGGGAGGGGCCGGCACCGGGGGCACCGGGAGCATCGGGAGCACCGGGAGCGCCGGGGCGGGGAGAGCCCGGTCCCCTCCCCGCCGGGCCGGGCGGGAGGCGGGTGAGCGGCGGGAATGCGGCGGGAGGAGCGGCGGGGCGCGGAGGGGCCCGGATGGACACGGAGCGGCGGCGGGAGGGGTTGTGACCGGGACGGGAGGATGCGGAAGAGCGGGAACCGAGGGCCCTGGCCCCGTGGCCTGCGGGGCCCGGCTCGGCGTGGCGGTGCGGATGTCCGGGGTGCCGGGGCGGTACCGGGGCCGTGGGGGAGGCTCGGGGGGCCGGCACGGCGGGGCCCCACGGCTGCCCATCCCCGGGGCCACGCGCGTGTCCCCCCGCCACGCGTGTGCGGGCCGAGTCCCCGCGGCAGTGCCCACCCCGGGACACCGCGTCCGCAGGGACAGCGGGCGGGGAGGGGCGCCCAGCCCTATGGCCGCCCCCAGGGGTCCTGTGACCCCCACCTGCCCCCTTCTTCACGGCCCGGGGGAGCTGGGGGGACACAGCAGGGACAGAGGGGACGGAGTCACTGATGCTGCGGACCCCCGAGCCGAGGCGGAGCCTCCTGCTCCCTCGTGGAGGGCTCACCAGTCGGGGGGTTCGCCACCGTGAGGTCTCACCAGTATGGGGGGGTCGCTGCTGTGGGGACTCCCCAGTGTGGCTGGCGGAGACAGCGTGTCCAGGACACCCCAGTCAGGCCCGGGGGCTGCCACCCACGGTGAGTGGCTCGGGGTGCCCCAGGCAGTGACCCCCGTATGTCAGGGAGCCCCGGTGCCCCCAGCTGCTGTCACAGCCCCTGCCTATATTATTTTTAGCCACCTGAGTGGCTGAAAATAGTCCAGGTGCCCCGGGCCGCCCCCCCGGCTCTGTGCAGGTTAATCTGTAGCTGCTGGTCACTGTAATGAGGCTCATTAGCCGGCATTACAGCGGGACAGCGACAGGCCTGGGCGGTGACACGGTGACAGGAGCTCGGTGCAGCAGAGCCAGGCTGTGTGGGTGAGGGAGGTGGGGGGACACGGAGGACAGTGAACTGGGGGTGACATGGCCTTGGTGCCCTTGCCACCCAGCTGCGGGCCACGGGGGAGTCCCGGCTGCATTCTGGGGTGACCTGTTGTCAGCCCCAGCACAGTGACAGTCCCCAGTGCAGTGCAGGGCTTGGGGTAGCAGCGTCCCCAGGAGATATGTCGTGGTCCTCAGCAGCGTGAGGGGATTCCTGGAGACATGACAGGATCCCCCAGGGGGTGGCAGGATCCCAGAGATGTGACAGTGCCTCTGAGTGCTGTGCCAGGGTCCCCCAAGGGAGGGCCTCAGGGGCTGTGCTGGGGCCCTGGGGGGTGTGTCACCGTCCCCTGCAGCGTGCCTGTGTCCCCAGGGGCTGTGCCAGCATCTGCAGGGATTGTCCCAGTTTCCCAAGCACTGTGCCAAGCCCTGGGGGAGGAGGGTGTGTTGGTGTCTTCGGGGGGTGCCAATGTCCCCAGGGGCTGTGCCAGCATCACCAGGAAGAGTGCCAGTTTCCCAAGGGCTGTGCCAGGTCCCCAGCAGGGTGCTGGTGTCCCTGGGGTGAGGTGTGTTGTTGTGGTGTCCCCAGTGCTCACACCAGGGTGTGCAGCAGTGTGCCAGTGTCCCCGTGGCTGTGCCAGGTCCCCTGGGGATGCTAGTGTCCCTGGGAGGGAGTCGGTGTTCCCAGGGGTGTGTTGTCACCAGAGCAGGCACCAGGATGCCCAGCAGAGTGCCAGTGTCCCCAGGTTGTGCCAAGTCCTGGGCCAGGCTGGCTCGGGGCAATAGGGACAGCACAGGGGGTCCTGGCACAGTGAGGGGACGGAGCCCCCATTGGGGTCCCGGGGTGCTATCAGGGACTGGCAGCCTGGGGGACCCGAGTGTGCTCCTGGGAGATTAGGGTGCAGTCACTGGGATGGGGAGGCGTGTCCCAGCCACGCTGCCGGGGTTCGGACTGCCGGGTGGCACTGAAGGTGACAGTGACAACAGGAGGGCCTGGCCTCGTGCAGGTGGGTGAGGGGTGCAGGACAGGAATCTGCAGGCACGGTCGTGAGTGCAGGTGTGCATGCCTGTGAACAGCTGTGTGTGTGCTTACAAATGTGTGTGTGCGCCCATAAATCTGGGTGTGCTCAAAAATCTGTGTGTGTCCGTCAACGGTTGTGTGCCACATGTCACCAGCTGTCCCCATGTGTGCGAGCCCTGGCCGCTGCAGGGCCCTGCCCTGCGCCCTGGCACATAGGGGACACCAGTGCCAGCTGCTGCGGCCAGGGATGAGGGGCAGAACCGGGGTGACAGTGGCCTTTGCCCGGGTGGCCACGTGCTGCCAGGTGTCCCTGTGTCCCCAGTGGGTGCCAGCATGGTGTGACACCTGGCCTTTGTCACCCACAGGCTTGGCGAAGACGCCCCAGGCTGGTGACAGCCCGGGCCGGTGGTTCCTGGGCAGGGGACATGGCGGGGGGCGCGGGGCTGGCCAAGCGACTGGGGACGCTCCTGTCAGGGCTGTTGGAGTGCGGCGCCTTCTGCGGCATCATCTTCGGCTGGGCCTCCCTCGTCTTCGTCCTCAAGGACCTGGGCTACTTCGAGGGGCTGTGCCAGCCCTCCGCCACCCCCAGCCCCAACCTCAACCTCACCCTGGGGTCTGGTATGGACCCCCACGTGTCCCCACGGTCCCCCGACTCGTGACCCCGCTGTCCCGATGCCCCGAGCTGTCCCATGTCCCCACTGTGCCTGTGTCTTTGCTGTCTGCGGTGTCCTGGTGCCCTGCAGTGCTCTGTGTCCCCGCTGTCTCCAAGCCCATGTGCCTGCTGTCCCCCAGTCCGTGTCTGCAGTACCATCATGTCTGTGGTGTCCCCACATGCCCGATGTCCCCTGCATCTCCGCTGACTCGTGTCCCCGGGTGCCTGCATCCCCACACCCGTGGTATTCCCGGTGTCCCCGTGCCCACGTCTCCGTGTCCCCATGCCCCATTATGGCCGTTCCCAGACTGCAGCGGGCAGGATGAGCAGTTCTCCCTGGTCTTCACCATCGGCTCCTTCATGAACAACTTCATGACCTTCCCCATGGGCGTCGTCTTCGACCGCTTCGGCACCACAGCTGCGCGCCTCATCGCCATGTGAGCGCTGCGCCAGGGACACGGGGACAGGCTGGGGGTGCTGGGAATGGGGGGTTACTGGGGTGGCCTGGCTCCCAGGGGACTGGGGTAGGTCGGGATCCTGGGAATCACCTGTGATTCCCAGGATCCCGTCCCACGTGTCACCGCTGTCCCCTCTAGCTCCCTCTACACTGGTGGGACCCTGCTCGTCGCCTTCTCCACGCCAGGTGAGACCCTGTGGCCAGGGGGTCCCCAGCCCTGGGGGGGACCTCTTCAATAACCCCTGTCCCCACTGACCCCTGTGTCCCCAGAGCTGGCGGAGCTGCTCTTCCCGGCCATGTCCATGCTGTCGGTGGGTGGCATCCTCCTCATCCTCACCAACATGCAGGTGGGTTCCCCCTGCACCCTGACACCCACGTGGCGGAGGGACACCCCGCGTGGCACGGGAGGGCTCTGATGGCACACAGGGGTCTCTCGGTGCCAGGTGGGGAACCTGTTCGGGAGCTACCGCTCCATCATCATCACCCTCTACAACGGGGCCTTCGACTCCTCCTCCGCCATCTTCCTCATCGTCAAGGTGGGTGCGAGGGACATGGCAGTGGTGGCAGGGGAGGACAGAGCTGGGAACAGCTGGGTCACATCTACAGACACATTGGGGACACAGTCTGGGACACAGCTGAGTCACTGCTGAGGCCACGTATGGGGACACACCTAAGGCCTGAGCAGGCGGCCGGTGGCAGCCTGTGTCTGTCCCTGACTCCGTCCTTGTCCCCAGCTGCTGTACGAGCACGGGCTGTCCCTGCGGGCCATGTTCCTCTTCCTGGCAGCCTGCAGTGCCTGGCACCTCCTGCGCACCCTCTTCCTGATGCCGCGCTCCCGCATCCCCTACCCGCTGCCCCCCGACTACGACTACGGGTACGGGGGCTGCCTGCGCCTGCCGGGGCTCTGGGCAGAGGGGGGCTGGGGCTGGGTCCCACCCTGCGGGCAGCGGGTCCTGTCCCCTGGGCAGGTCCAGCCCCGGCAGGGTGACACAGGGTGACACAGGCGCTGCCGCAGGCTGCAGTGCCGGGGGCGTTCCCGCTCCTACCGAACCCACAAGGACAAGCAGCCCCCGGGAGAGGCCGGACCCGAGGAGACACCCCTGGAACCCCCCATAGCTCGAGGTGCCGGACTGGGAATCTGCTGGGTGGGGCGGGGCTTGACCGGGTGGGCGTGACCACAGCTGGCTGTGGGCTGTGCCATGTAAATGAGGGGTGTGGCCTGGGGGCGTGGCTGTGCGGGGCGTGTTGGAGGGCAACCATGCGTATGCAAATAGTGGGTGTGGCCTTCTGCTGGGTGGGCGTGGCTGCTGATGGGTGCGGCTGGAGGACAGCTGGGATATGCAAATAAGGGAGTGCTGGGTGTGGCAGTGGGTGGGCGTGGTCAAAGGGTGGGCACGGTGACATACCTGAATGGGCAGGGTCATACCGATGGCCCTGAGGCCCCAGTGGGTGGCAGGGACAAGGTGTGGGTGTGGCATGGGGGTGTGTGTCTTATGTGCCCCACCCTGACACCTGCACAGGTGGGGACGCCCCCGGGACACCGTTCCGGGCCTGCGCCTGCTCCTGGCTCTTTGCCTGGCACGTGGCCTGGCTCTCGGTGATGCAGCTGCGCCACTACCTGTTCATCGGCACCCTCAACCCGCAGCTCGAGCACCTGGCGCACGGGGACCACGCCCTGGGTAAGGCATCGCTGTGGCGGGGACACGGCGGGGACCCCCGGGGCCCCGCCTGACGCTGTCCCCCCACAGTGAGCACCTACACCAACGCCTTCGCCTTCACCCAGCTCTTCGGGGTGCTCTGCGCCCCCTGGAACGGCCTCATCCTCGACCGGCACAAGCGGGCAAAGGGCCCCCGTCCTGAGGGTAACTGAGCCCCCAGCCCCATGCCCCGCGGGCAGCTGAGCCCCACGGCCCTTCACCCCAAGCAAAACCACTCCTTGGCCCCACACTTTGGGGGTAACCCCTCATCCCAGCCCTGTGCTCCCTGTCCCATGTGTCCACACTGCTGCCACCACCACTGTGCCCGAGCCCACGGCGCCTGGAGAAGGGACACGGGAAGGCTGCGTCCCCCTGCCCTGACCCCCATGCCCACAGGGCTCCTGGCCGCGCTGGCAGACCTGCGCTCGGCGGTGCTGTCGCTGGTGGTGACGGTGGCCCTGTGCCTGCTGTTCTCCGTGTTTGCCGCCGTGCCTGTCCTGCCCGCCCAGTTCGGCACCTTCGTGCTGCAGGTCATCAGCCGCTCCTTCCTGTACGGCGGCAACGCCGCCTTCCTGGCCATCGCGTGAGTGGGGACAGCCACGGGGCACGCAGGCTTCAGGGTGGCAGGGCATGGTGGCACGGTCGTGGGTGTGGCAGGGGACAGACAGGGCATGGCCAGGATAGGGTGGAGGGTGGCAGGTGACACGGTGGAGGTGTCAGGGGACTGCGGTGGGGCTGTCAGGGCTCAAGAGGGGGCCAGGGTGGGGGTGCCAGGAGATGCCTGTTGGTGACATGGGTGCCTGGCAGGTTCCCCCCGCAGCACTTTGGGAAGCTCTACGGGCTGGCCATGGCACTGTCGGCGCTGGTGGCCCTGCTGCAGTACCCCTGTGTCGCCCTGGTGCAGGGGCCGCTCCAGGGGGACCCCTTCTATGTGAGTGTGCCCTGTGGGACCTCAGAGTGAGGGCTGGGGGGCTGCTCCACAGGGAAATGGGGTCCTGCCCTGGGAGGGAAGGGGGCTTGCCACATGGGGAAATGGGGGTCTCATCCCTTGGGAAAATGGGGATCCTTGTCCTGCCCATGGGAAAATGGGGATCCTGCCCCATGGGGAAATGGGGATGCTGCCCAGGGAGGGAGGGAATCCTATCCCCAGGAGTGGTGGAGTCTTATGCCATGAGAAATGGGGGTCCTGCACCAGAGAGGGAGGGGTGTCCTGCTCCTGGGGAAATGGAGGTGCTGCCCCAAGAGTCCTGGCCTGACACAGGGGATGGGGGGACGGCTCCCCAGACCCCTGCCCTGACACTCTTCCCCTCCGCAGATGAACTTGGGGCTCATTGCCGTGGTGCTGGTGGCCTTTGTCAGCCCCGTGGTGGTGGCACGCGAGTGCCAGCGGCGAGCCAAGGAGCTGGGCATGGCTGGCACCCCCCTGGCAGCCCCCTCCAGCACTGAGATCCACGCCGAGACCCCACACTGAGCCCACACCCAGCACACCATTTTTGTACCGGCCTGGGGGTGCTGTGCCAGTGGGGTGGGGATAATAAACATCGCTGTCCCCTCCGCTCGCTGTGCTGCCCCCACGGGCCCCCAGCCCTGTCCCCAGGCCCCCAGTGCACACAGACACGGCTCAGGGCATCTCTGCTTTACTGGGAAAGGAACTGGGGTGCCACGGCAGCGCCAGGGGCTCAGTACTGGCAGATGAAGGGGCGCAGCTGGAGGCAGAAGCGGCTTCGCCAGAGCCCATCTGGGGACAAGGACAGTGTCAGGGCCATGGGTGGTTCCCAGGGCTCCTCAGTACCCTGCAACCACTTCCAGTGCCCCCTGTATCCCCCCTTGACTCCCCCAGTGCCCTGTAACCCCTCCCAGTGCCCCTCCCAGTGCTCCCCTCAGCCCACCTAGTGCCCTGTAGCCCTCTCCCCACAGTGCCCTCCCAATGTTCCTCCAACGCTCCAGCAGCCTGTGCTCCCCTCCCCAGCACCCCCCAAGCCTGGACACGGTGGCTGGGTGACCTTACCTCGGATGCTGAGGGTGGTGCAGGTGGTGACAATGTGGAAGGGGTGGGTGGGCGCCCAGTTCGCGTAGTTCCAGGGGCTGGAGTCCTCCCAGTAGGACTCCCACCGCCCTGCCTGCTGTGCCAACACCTCAGTCCCCAGGGAGAGCCTCCACCACCCCAGTCAGCCCCTCGACCCCAAAAACCAGCCCCAGCAACCAACAGCCAGCCGCTCATGCCTCAAAACCCAGCCTCCAGCCCCAGGCTCGTCCCCCACAAAGCAGCCCCAGCACCCAGCACCCCATCCCCAGCCCCTCACCCCCCAAGGCAGCCCCCAGCACCCCTTGGGCAGCCCTTGTCCCCAGAGTCCCCTCACCCTGCGGCTGGTGACAGCTCCAATCCAGGGTGCGAGGAGGATGTTGTAGGTCTGTGCCAGTTTCTGCAGCTCCTGGTTGCGGGCGGCGCTGTGCACGGAGGCCAGCTGGCCGCGGTACACATCCTGGCAGTAGCGCTGTGGGACGGGCACGGGCTGGCACCAGGCACTCACCCGTGCCCACGGGCACCTCCCAGCGGTGCTGCCGTGGCACGGGCACGGCCTGGCATCCTGGTACAGCCCGCACCCGCTGTGCCCCGTCCCCTCACCTGGGCGCCTGAGTAGGTGCGCAGCTTCTTCACCACGGTGTAGTGCAGCGGGGCGGTCTCACCAGCGGGCACCCCCTGGGGCTGGCGGGGGGCTGCAGGGCACAGCAGGGGAGGGTTGGTACCGGGGGTCCCTCTGCCACCCACTGCCAGCCCCAGGTGTGTGGCATGGGCGGTGTGGGCATGGCACTGGGGTGGCAGGGACTGAGGGTGTCCCCAGGGTGTCCCTGGGAGCGGGCAGGGGTGTGGGGGGCACTCAGTGGGGCAGGGGGACAGACACTCACCGGGGTGGCTGGCAGGGACAGTGCCCAGCAGGGCGAGAGTGAGCAGCAGGCACGGCCACATGGCAGTGGGACACGCAGGGACACCGGGAACACCACCAGCACCCTCTGGAGACGCCACAGCCCTGTCACCCTGTCACCCCCCACCACGGTCCAGAGCCCCTCTGCCACCCTTGGTAACAATCTGTTCTCTCTGTGGCCCTTCTGCCATCCCCTGTGTCTCCACTGTCCTACTGCCACTCCTAGGTCCACCTTGTGTCCCTCACCCCATCCTGCCCCTCTGTGCCCCATATCCCCACCGTCCCTCCACCATCCCCTGTGCCACTCCCATATACTCCCGGCATCCCAGAGACCCCTGTGTCCCCCAACACCCTCATGCCAGCCTCAGGGATGCCCACCCCTGGTCCCCACCCCGGCAGCCAGGGGCTGAGCCCACTCAGATGTCCCCCTCTATGTCCCTGTCCCCAACCCCGCTCCTCACCTGGGGTCTGGAGGGCTCTGCCCGTTGTCGCCCTTATAGGGGTGACAAAGTTACATGTCACCACCACAGCCTTGCGCCACCCAGCCCGGCCCTGGGGACACCATGGGGACATTGGGGTGACACTAGGCGGGAGGGGATCCTTGCCCGTAGTGGGGCACACATGGCGCCCAGGGAGGGGGGCTGCAGGCTGAGGGGTGCATGGGGGTGCCCAAGGCAAAGGGTGGGTGCTGGGGGGTGCAGGGGTGGGGGCTGCTCCAGTTTGAGGGGTGCAAGGCGGGTGTATGGGGTGCAGCAGGGGCCGGCTGGGGGTGCAGAGGGGATGTTGGGGTGCTGATACCATCTCCCGCCGGCCATGCTTGCCCAAGGGCCATTTCCTTTCCAACGGCCGTGGCCCCTGGGTCCGGCCTGGCCGTTTGCCCACAGACCCCTTGAGGCCCCCCTAAATCTCCCATTTCCCTGCCCAGCCCTCAGGCCTGCAGCTGAGCACCCACGGCCCCCCACCGAGGACTCTGCACCCCAATCCTTATCTCTATGCCCTGTACACCCCAACCCCTCCATCTCCTGTACCCCAACATCCCTGAGCCCCTGTACTGTTAACCTGCCCCCCCAAACTCCCACAGCCCCCTCCCCACACCCTGCACCCCAAACCCCACAGCCCCCTCTCCATGCCCCACACCCTCTTCCCTGGACCAAGCACACCCCAGGCTGTGGCACTTCCTGGGCAGGGTGCTGGCAGAGCCCTCCTGAGGTGTCCCCCACCATGTCCCCAACAGTTGGTGGTTGGGGATGTCACAAGGCTGTGGTTGGGGGTACGTGTCCCTGTCACCAATATAAGGGTGGCAATGGGCAAAGCCCCCCAAGACCCACTCCTCCAGGTGAGGAGCAGAGACAGGCACATGGGGGTGGGCTCAGCCCTCGGCTGCCAGGGTTGGGGGTTCCTGAGTCTGGCACTGGGGGGCTCTGGGGTGCCAGGGGTGGAGGGGGCACGGTGGGGGACAGAATGGCACAGGAAGCCCAGGGGAGGGAGTGACCCAAGGGTGGGAAGCGAGGAACTAGGCACATGGTGGGCACAGGAGGGCTGAGGTCTGTGGGGGTGGCACTGAGGGTGGCAGAGGGGACGGGGCATGGGGTGGCACTGGGGATGGTGGAGGGACAGTGGGGATATGGGGGGTTTCTGAGGGGACATGGGGAGGAAAGGGTGATGCTGGGGGTGGCAGAGGGCCCATGGGGGTGTCCCCAGGGTGGCTGAGAGTGATGGCGCTCTGGGATGTCCCAAGGGTGCTAGTGGTGTCCCCAGTGTCCCTGTGCCATGCGGCCCTGCCTGCTGATTGCCCTGGCCCTGCTGGGCACAGTTCCCGTCAGCCGCTCCGGTGAGTGCCCCCCACACCCCCACCTGCCCGCGGGGACACGCTGGGACACCCCTGATCCCAGGGTGACCCAGCCACTGTCCCCAGCTCTTGCCAGCCCTGCGGTGGAGGATGAGGAGGACGTGACAGAGCTGGAGATGCCCGAGGAGTACAGCGGGTGCCGGGGGGCCAGTGACAAGCAGGCACTCGGTGTGCCCAGCATGCCGGGCACCGCCACCTGCCGCTACGTCATCATCTCCCGCTGCCGAAGCTTCCGCCATGCGCAGGTGGGACGGGGTGGGTTGGATGGGAGGTCGGGGTGGGGGCACCAGTGCCCCCCGTGACAGCCGTGTCCCCGCAGCGCATCTGTGCCCGGCGCTTCTGCGGGCGCTTGGCCTCCATCCACGATTCCCGCACCAACACCTTCCTGACGCTCCTGGCGCGCCGGCACACCAATGCCGGCCTCGTCTGGATCGGTGCCGTCAGCCAGCCCGCCGTAAGGACCCCCGCCACGCGCCCACCACCCTGGCCTCGGGGCACCCTGTCTCCTCCCAGTGTCCCCAGTGCCCACCCCGGGTGTCCCAGCCCTGTGCCACGATTCCCAGTGCACAGCCTGGCTTCCCCGATCCCATTCCCAGTGCTCTCAGTGCCCACCAAGAGAGCCACAACTCCACCCCAGTGTCCCCAGTGCCCACCTGGGTGCTCCAGCCTTGTCCCAGTATCCCTAATGCCCATCCTGGATGTCCCATTCCCGTTCCACTGTCTCGCAGCGCTGGAGGTGCCCACACCCTTTCTCCCCTGGCAGATCCCATTCCCAAACTGCCACTGGACTGACCGGAGCCCCTGGAACTACAGCCGGTGGGTGCACGGGCACCCCCTGCCCGGCCGCCGCTTCTGCACCGCCCTCTGCACCAACAGTCAGTGCGGGCTCTGTGGGAGGGGTCTGGGGGGCGCTGGGGCAGCCCCTGCCATGATGGGGGGAGGGTGCTGAGGGGCTCGGGATGGGGAGGTGACACTGGGAGGCTGGTATAAGGTATCTGGGGGGGCTATCCCTGGGGCTGGAGGGGGACCCTGGGGGTGGGGGTGCTGGTGGGCCATGGGCTGATCCCCCCTCCTCTCTCCCCAGATGGGCTCTGGAGGAGCGTGCGCTGCAAGAGGCAGCTGCCTTTCATCTGCGAGATATGAGGGGCTCAGCCCCACTGGGTGCTCCCGGGCCTCCCCTACTGCTGTTCCCCTACAGGGGGCTGCATCCCCTCCCTCGGAGCACAATAAAGTCTTGGTGTCAGCACCCACTTGGTGTTTGGGCAGGGCTAGGCTGGGTGCAACCAGGGTGGGCACAGAGGGGTTTTGGAGGTGCCCCTTCTTCCCTGCACAGCTCCTGTGTGAGCAATAGCAGTCACAGGGTCCCCTCTTCAAGGATCTCTGTGATCTCTGCCCAGAAGAGCCAGGACTCTCTGAACTGACCAGCGAGGTTTTATTGTCTGTGGCAGTGGCACCACGAGCTGGACCCGTTGGCCTTTGTCCGGGACCATACATGAGCAGGGGGGAGGGGAAGGGGGGGCTCGTGCCCACCCCCAGACCCATGGGGACCAAGGGGATGGGGTACAATGGGGGGATGGGGAGGAGGTGAAGACAGGGACCCTGCGAGCTCGTACAAAGTGCATAGGTGTGTGTGTGTGTGTCCCCATGGGAGGGGACAGCCCTGGTCCAGGGACAGCAGGCTTCAGCGTCGGAGTGAGCCTGGAAGTGACACACAGGGAAGGGGGTGAGGACCCTGCAGGGCCCCCCCAGGGATGATCCTGCCCGGGGGGACCCACCAGAGCAGAGAGGGCTACCCCCAGCAGCGCAGACTTGGGGAAGCCTGAGCTGGGGGGTGCCCCCAGCACTGTCTGAAATCCCACACTCACCCTGCTCAAGGCTTCTTCCTTTTCAGCTTCAGCGCCTGCAGCCAGTGGGGGGGAGAGGCCTCGGATCTGGGGTATTGGCAGAGTTTCAGCATGAGCCCCCCAAAACCAGTCTGACCCCTCAGCCCCCCTTTTGCCTCCATGTGGAGGATCCTGGCCCCACACTCACCCTGAGGATTTCTCTGGCTTGGGGGGCAGGGCTGGGGGTTTCCCACTCACACCAGGGATCTTGCAGGACTTGGAGCGCTGCACATGCGGGTCTTTAGGAGGGGTTCCCTTGCTGTCCCCTGATGATGTCCCCTCCTCAGCTGAGCGGTTGCGACCCCTTAGCTTGGCCTGAGGGAAGAGAGAAAGGTCAGGGAGAAGGGTCAGGACAATGCTCTGTCCCCCAAATCCCACCACTGCCTTCTCCCTGTCTTTAGCCAGGCCCCAGCCCCACACTGCCTTGGTTTCCCTGCGTTCCACCCTCCCTTCCACCCTGCAGCAGGAACCCAAGGGACTCACCTTGATGGCAGAGGCACTGAGGCTGGGAAAGAGCGGCACCTTAACCCCCCTTCCCGAGGATGAGCCGCGCACCCGCCGGCTCCGGGGCTCCTCCGCTGCCTCCTCATCGGAGGACGCTGCTGGGGCTGGCCGGGGCTCTGTGGGGACACAGGGACAGTGTCACCACAACACTGCGCCAGGATAGACGCCCCGCTCCCATCCCCACCCCCACTGGGCTCACCTGTGGAGTCCCGGAAGATCCAGCTGTCCCCCTCGGTGGTGGTGGGGCGCAGGGACGGCGCCCGGTGCTGGCGCTTGCGGCCCAGGCTGGCCTTGCAGCGGAACACGCTGCTGTCCAGGAGCTCCGTGTCCTGCTGAGGCCAAGGGACAGGTCAGAGCTGGCACAGGGAGCCCAGGGATGCCCCACCCCAGCCAGCACAACCACAGCCCCCACAGCAGTGCTGGGGGCCCTCAATCCGTGGCTGTCCCTGGGGGCAGCAGGGTCTGAGAGCCCCATCCACGGACACGTGCTGTGTCCCAGGCCATACAGGGTGATTGGAACCTCCCCACTTCCACTCACCTCCAGAAAAGGAAATTCCTGCCCCTGCTCCATGGACCCCTCGGGCTGGGGTGTAGTAAGTGAGAGCCGCTGCTCCCCCCAGCTCGAAGATCTCTCCCCATCTGGGTGGTCTGAGGGCTGTTCCTCACTTCCTGTGTCCATTGGGATCCCACTGGCAGTCTCTGGCAGCAGAGGGGGGACCCTGGGGCTCTGTGGGGCAGCAGCTGGTTCAGAGGGATGCCTCTCCTCCTCAGAGGGGCTGGGTGACTCACTCCGGGGGGGCTCCACAGCTGGGCAATCAGCTGGAATGTCACCCATCGAAGGGCCAGGGGCTGACCTGCTTGGGGGACAAAATCCTAGAATTGCTCTAGCCTCAGGTAACACAAGCCCTGCCCCAAACCCCTCTGTCTGACACAGGGGAAGCTACTCCCTCCCTGCCACCACTGGTGCCCTCCTTACCCGTGCTCTGCGCCGGTGTCCCCTCCCACGCTCTGCTCCCCCGCACCAAGGTCCCGGCTGCGGGCGGCACAGCGGGCACTGAAGGCACTCGCCCACTCCTGGCGCCTGGCCTCAGCATCCTGTGGCT